ATTTAGAATTATAAATAATATTTCTTTAAAAAATTATAAATTATTTCTAATTTTATTAAGAATAATTCTTTTAATAGAAGAATAAGTAGCTAGTAATTAAAAGTATTTCTATCTATTATAAATATTCTTAATATTACTATTAGTATTAAGAGCCGGCTGGATAACCCTCTCAAAGACGGGCTGCAGCTGCAGCCCTGACTTCCCTGTCTCTCTCGAAGACAGACCCTTCCGCAGCTCTGATCTCTCTGTCTCTCTGGCAGACAGCCTGTAGCTGCGGACCTGACTTCCCTGTCTCTCTCGAAGACAGACCCTTCCGTGGCCCTGACCTCTCTGTCTCTCTCACAGACAGCTAGTTGCTGTGACTACGGATCCCTTGTCTGGCGGGTAGATTAGTAAGAGATAGCTAGGTTATAAAAGGAACAGCTGAGCCCTACAGGTGAAAAGGGCGGACTTTATCCTTATTTTATCTTTTTATTCTTGAAATATAGCTTATTTTAGCCCCTATTTCTCTTGATCAACTACGGGATTTCCCACATAACACACTATAACCCCTCTTTTAGTCTCTAGTCTTGCTGTTTGTTATCCTAGCTAACCTAGCCCGGCTGCTATCTTTACCTAAGACCGTAGCTTCTATAGCTACGGGCCAGAGGGATTTTCCTCCGGCACTCAGTATATATATTCAGAAAGTCTATAGTAGTTTGGTTGAGCTGAGCTATAGAGGGAATTATGATCTTGGGAAGTTGGAAGAACTAAATTACTTATCTATAAGTAGTGTCAGGCATTACCAGTGCAGGCTAGTTTAGAAGATTGAACATGGCCGTGTAGCCTAACTCCCATATTGGTGGGATTTGACCCATGTCCAAGGCTTAGAGCTGACCCAAGGTGTCATATGCATTCTTTACAAGATAGGGCAAAATTAATACTGTCCTCTTCAATATATCTATTTACCAATGTTAATGAAATAACTTGATTACGTCCTCTAACGGGCCCTCCCTACGAAACATTTCCCTCACGTCCTGCACTAGGCCTTCCGGTCTCTCGTAAGCGGCGAAATGCCCCCCGGATGTCTGCCTATTCAAAAAGATCACTGGGCCCATTTCTCGAATCCAAGAATCTGGCGGAATCTTGAGATCTTTCGGAAATAAAGAGACACCAAGGGGAACACCGTGAACATACTGTCTCAGTGCCTCTCTGAATCTCTGCTGCTCGACACGCTCACTCTCGTAATATAGGTACAGACTTGACTGGGGGCCAGCTCGAGAGAACTGATATATCGAGACCCAAGTTAGTACTTCGTCATCTTCCCAGGGATATGAGTCGGTCCAATCATGCAACTTTTCGTATATCCACGCTAGAAGCGCCACAGGAGAGTCACGCAGGGCAAAGGCCAGCGTAGTTGGCCTAGTGCTCTGTTCAGCTTTGTAGCCCTCGCCTTCTTCCACAAACCATTTTGTTCGCTGAAGTCCTGCCTTTTCTTCTTCACTATATTCTAGCGGAATACTGGGCAAAGCACTGGGGTTTTCTCTGTTCTGTAGACTCTGGGGCTTTTCGACTAGACTGACGAAATTGACATGGGACGCTAGGCAAGAAGTCGGGTACAGAAGACCAATGTGGCGGGTAATATGATATCCCCAATCTCCGCCTTGTGTAACTAAGCAATGTGTTAGCCAAGATGTAGTAAACGTTCGGATCATACCTGCTGTCCGCTGGCTATTATCATACCATACTGGCTATAGTCTAGTCGAACCATGATCTTGTGCATCGCCTCTGCATATTGAGGCAAGGCAAAGCCGGGACTGGTGACTTCTGCAGAGAAGCCGTGGTTTGGTAACGACGGGGCAACAACGTGGAACGCTTGTCCATTTGCGGGTTCCGTGAGGAGTGGCAGGATCTTTAGCACTTCAAGGAAGCTCCCAGGCCCTATCCAAGTCATTCGTCAGTCTATAGGAATAGGGGACTCTTGTGAAGAGTGCTTACAGCCATGAACGAATAGGAGTGGGATTGCTCCAGGTTGACTGCTTCGTTTGTGTATAAAATGGATGTTTAGTTCGCCGAATCCCCCAACCGATACATTAGTCGTGAATTGGGGCAACTCGTTAAGTTTGGTTTCTTGGGTACGCCAGTCGAAGCCTTGGCGCCAGCGGGAGACAAGACGCTTGATGTCGCACAGAGGCGCGCCATATGCCCAGTTATCAGAGACTGCACCCTCATTAGGGAATGTAACTATGTCGAGTTTTTTCTGCAAAAGTTCCATGGAACTCTCATCCACATGTATCTTATACGGTATTATCTCGTCCATAATTGCAAGCTAAAATACTGATGCGTCGCTCGAGCATAAATGCGGCTTGGATGGAAGTGGAGGGAACACTCTGGCTTCCGAGAAGCGTCATTGGTATTAATACAGTCGAAAGGATGAGCTTCGCAACCTGAAATGGTATTATTACAATATATGACGTAAGTCTACATGTGCTATCAATTACAGGGCGCAGATGTTGCTCCCTCCGTCGATGTTACGCCCTATGTACTTTGATGTTGCGCCTTACGTTGACGCTGCGCCCTACATTAATGTGCGCCCTAGGCTAGCGCCAGTTCAAACGAATCTATGACGATTATCGCATGTGCCATCGGGCCCTCATCAACCGAAGATGCGGTTGGTTTAAGTGCCTACATATCATAGTTGTTGGGGACATGGCCCGTCCTCGAAGTCTGCAAGCCGTGCTTGATACTCCTTGCTGAGATCTAGGAGGGTGGGCGAATTCGAGCAAGTCAAACCAGGAACTTGCCACCAATAAGTCAACATGCTATGAATGTCGAGATGTCTTGATTAACATTCACAACAATCTATGTAGGGCTACTTGAGCAAGAAGTTCATAGCCAGCGTTGTCCTACCACGTAAGTTCATCTCAAGAGATGAACCTCCCAGAGCGTAGCAGGTCACTTTTTGTAGGAGATGTAGTGATAACCACCTATATATATAATATTCGTTATTCCGTAATAAGGTCAGCCCATTCGCTCTGGCAAACTCCATATACAATATCGGACACCTTTTGCCGCAAAGCGCCAACATGTGGGACCCGGTTCGTGGGTACATGAATATCACGCTCCTCATGGGTGATCTTGCCTACCTCTTGGATCCAGAAAGCAGTGCCGACAGCGAACATACCTACCAGCCTCCCATCAAGGTTCGCCTTTTCGATTTCGGCCATGGTGAATACTCGCTCCACGACGTCGCAGGCTTCGAAACCTCCAATGTTCTTTTCAACAAACATATCACGCGCAAGCTCGATCACACTGCGCCGTGTGTTGCCAGCAAGAATCAGAGACCTTTCATCAAGGGGGCTGGTAAGAATCTCCAGGCGGCCGGATTGCGTTTTCCACATGATGAACACGTTTGTCGATCCAGCTTCTGTAATCTGTCGATCGGGCCCGTAGAGCCACAGAACCTGATCATAACCACCTTCTTTTGCCCGTGCGTGCTCCTGAAGAGCGAGTCCGTAGTTGCCACCAATCTTGGCTGCGCCGGTACCACCAGGCCAGGCCCTGACAGCATCTTCGCTGCTGGTGATCAGCCGCATGCCCTTTGGTTCGGCACCGTTCAAGGCTGGAGTAGCTTGCTGGGGTGTCGGCCAGTAGATGAGAAAGATGCACAAGCAAGCCTCATCGGGGACTTTGAAGCCAAGGCTGCTGTCCGTTGCGATCAAGGTAGGCCTTATATAGAGAGCTGAGCCAGCTTGGCTAGGAGGAAGCCATTTGGGGGCCTCCAAAGCGCATATTTTCCGAATTAGTTGCAGTAATTGCTCGGGCTCAAAAGTCGGCAGCGTCACCCTCTTCGCGGAGTTGTACATGCGCTCGCAATTGTACATTGGTCGGAAGAGCCGAAGACGTCCATCATGACCCCGGTATACCTTCATGCCTTCGAAACATTCCGTGGCGTACTGCAAGGCGCTGGCCGTAGGCAGTAATGCAAGGGGTCCGTAAGGCACTACTTCCGGGTCAGCCCAGCCTTGAGCCGCAGTCCAATTAACTTGGATCATGCGGTCGGTAGCAGACTTGAGGGCCGCTAGATCCGCAGATGCGATATCCGGGACTGGTTTAGGTGTATATGGCGCATCGGTGCGGAGGCGAGAGGCATCTAGGGGAGCGGAACACATAGCTACGGCAAGGCGTTGAAGCTTGAGTGCTGAAAGATGTAATTTGCAGTGGAGGAGGTGGCAGACGATGAAGATTAAGCATAGTAAAGAAGGGTCTAACTATCTTGAACTATGAACCGAGGCTTTTCTATCTACACATCAGACTCAAAGGGGCGAGCTATTATTTTGGAACTTATTTCGGGGCTTGCAAGCGAAGGCACACGTTGCCTTTCCTCGGAGATAGATAACATAGGGCGTGACTTAATATTACAAATGGGAAGATAAACTCAGCCTCCGGCACCGGCGCAAAAGCACTCCACGTCAGGTGCAAACTAACATGAGTAGCTAACTTGAGCTGGGTGGCATTCACCCTCTTACACACCCACAGAGGTTTGTCGATGAACAACAGCCGCCTTCCGACGAGAGGCTCACTAGAACTTACTGCGACTGAGATGTCATATCCAACGATATTCAGAGCGAGCCCGCTCGCAGCGATACGGAAATTCGCCTAAAGTCAAATGCATGGGCAGCCGCGCCTTGAAGACAGGAGGCAAGAAGGTTTTCCAAGATAATGCTCGTAAATATCACCATTATATATATACATATCACGCTGGCCAATACTACGCTCTTTGTACGTGAATCAGCGAGTAAGAATATCTTCGTTCTCTTAGTTAGCACTAGATAGCAGTTCCCAAGTATTTCATGGACTTTTTCATGCGTAAGAGAAAGAGAATAAAGTTCAATAGCAGTGAAAGCTGCTAGAGCCCGACAACTCAACACAATGAATGATGAACTCCTTCATAGCTCGTCAAGAATTGTAGCTCAAGTTAAGACCTTTCAGCAGAGCATACACTAACTGCAGCCTAGGGGATGGTGTCGACGATTCCTTGGCCAACATGAGCAAGTTGCCCAGAAGTGGCTCAATCTCCATCGGCCGCTTAGCTTTCACATCAGCCATCATACTGGGCACAACTCCTGGGAGGGGACGCGCAGTAATGAAGCTGAGCTGCGCCTCCACCACTTCCTGGTCAATCTGAGGGTATCCCACCGCGCGGGCTATCGCCGCAATCTCCTCCATCAACTCTCGTGTTCTCTGGATCGCCAAGGGGCTGCTCTGCAAGAATGTGGCATCCGGTAATTGGGTAAGCGCGCAGACCGGGTTCTCAGAACCATTGACGAGTATCTTTTTCCATCGTGCGACTTGCACATCGTCCTCCACGGTGACAGCGGCTCCTCCTCGCTTCAACATGGCACACAGCTCATCGCAGGCCGCCTCGGCACGTGAGTCATCCTCTGGACATTGAGAAGGATAGATTCCAATCTGAATCTCAGTATGCAGTGCGTGTGTAAAGACGCTGGGCTCAACCTGCGAGACGGGAAGGTATAGCACTGCTGATATGATGGGGTTGCAAGGGAATCTCTCGCGCCAAGGAGCCTCAATAGCAATACCATTCTGCATCAGTACAATAGCTGTTTGGGCCGATATAGCGGGTGCTACTACTTCGGTATTTGTATCGAGCTTTGACTGGCCCTTGGTCGTGATGAAAACGTAATCGTACTCGGGCCTGTGTCGCTCGACGGCCTCCTCCACAGTCTTGAAGCACATCGGGCTGATTTGAAGGTCTTTCCCCCATATTGTTGAATGCAGCGTCAAGCCCTTCCGGGTAACTTCCTCGTGATTTGACCGGCATATAATTGCGAGATCTCTTGCAGGGATCGTGGCTGAGATCATGAAGCTGACCACAGCTCCAATACAACCGCCACCATATATCAAAACAGAGCGACTCATTATTATAGTGCTGAGGGAAGCAATTGAAAAGATGGCTTACTTTTGTCCGCTTCAGAAAAGGGACATATTCGTTGAGCATCACCAACTGCAATAACTGCCAGACCTTGTGGCGACCTTCTGGTCTTCATGAGATCGACTGAACGCCATATTGCCTCAACCATCCATACAATCAGTGTAGTTGTCCAACGAAGGAATTTTAGGCGACTTTGAGATGGTCCCCGGTATCGGGACACCCCTTTCACGCTCCCCCCGTTACTAGTTTGAAATCCACTCCTTGAGCATTGAACAGCAGAGGGCGTGTTCTGCAAGGCGTTTTCCAAGTGCATAAGGCGTAGGGCGTAGGGCGTAGGTGTGGTAGATGAGGGATGTAAGATGGTTAAAGTCCATCGATACCTTCTTCATCGGGAAACGTCCATCTCTCCGCCTTTTCTGGCTGCAATGACTGACTCTTGTTCTTAATTATCGGACCAAGAGTCCCCGAGAGTAGACAATGACCGAAACAAAAGCTAGCTAACATCGGAGTTGTGCGGGGATGATAAGGCAGGGAAGATTCCTGAAGCCATCAGCAGGCATGGCACGAAGAATACATCATACAAGTTATAATCTGGTCTAGTTGTGGCATTGATGTTGAGCTGAACTTGAATGTTGACTGATTGGGACATTCCTCTTCACTTGTTCATCTGGTGCAATCTGTTCAACATGTCGACGGGGCGTCTCACAGATAAAGTAGACCAAGTGTGCTACCAGCAATGCACTTCCAGAATATTATACAATTCGCAACTGTAATTATTGTTCCATACGTTCCACTTTTGAAACGCGATGAGCGTTAGCTTTCACTCTCTAGGTGCTGTGCAGCGTCATGGTATTCCCAACCCTCAACAGAGCGAGATTGTCCGGTGATATAGTTTCGACCGTTCCAATCCACCTCCTAGGCCAGGTCTGGGAGAGCAATATGACATCGACTGAATTGACCAAGACGTTATCGATGCCATGATGAGGGGTTGCAAAATCATTCAAAATCCCAGCAATACACTCAATGGGCATTGATTTACTCCTATGAACCTAATATTCGAATCTTCTTTGCTATTTCATCAAGCCCTTAGTAAGATAAGAAATTCGTCATCATTTTTTCGCGTTTATGACCGGTTTCTACCCCTTTGATGTGTCCCATCTGACCGACATGGATTGGAAAGCAGATGGGGAAAGAGCTTTCGACATACCACAAGTTCCAGTCAGCCGCACAGATTATGAAAGTTTTCCCATGCCGACCGTGTATAATGCCTTGAACAAATCTCACACTCACCACAGCCAAGGCATCCTGGGGATGTCCATTCCCCCGTGAAAGGGTGTACAACCCAGGATTCGTCCCAGTCTCCCATTGACCCCGTTATCATGTCATACTTGTCGGGAATAGGCACAAATTCGAGCATGTGGTCCTCCTCTGGGTGGTTGGCAACAGTATGGATCTGGACTCCCCGGTTTCGCCCTTCCTCTATCGCCTTCTGAAATAACACTTTTTCTCGCGGCGTAGATCCGTTTTCCTCAATCGGGTTGAGATAGACGGCTTTCAGTTTTTTGAAACGGCCGGATCTCATCATTGCAACAATGGCGTCGTCAATCGTCTCGTATTCCTCATACTCACCCCTTCTAAACCATTCACCATATTCGTCTGTTTCTTGCCCCCAAAGCACAAGGACTTCCAGAGAAGCTGGGAGCAGCCAAACGAAAGCGGCAACAAGCTCGTCATGATTGATGAAATCATCGTTGGTGCAATGCGGGAGTGAAACATCATCAATGCCCATCTCCTGTATGTACTCAGACTCATCGATTCCCCCCTCATCCGACTGCTGATTCCTGGCCTCTCCAAGGGCCTCGAGGATAATGTCCTGAATGCATAAACTTACTAGACCAAGGTTGTGTAGCCCCTGTAAGAGTCCTGGTTCATACAACCTGCTATGGTGACTATTTACGTAATCTGGCCTGTAGATGGTGAATCTGCGAAGAGATTGACAAGATGAGGAGTCGGCTAAGCATACGGGAATCATGTCGCTATCCATTGGCTCGTCCGCATTCTCTGGATGTCCACGGATTACCAAAGCTTCAAGAGCACTCGGGGCCATGAGTAGCGCTTCCCTGAAAGACCACGAGTCGTCTCTAATTCTGTCAAGGATGATCCTTTTAACGGAAGAACAGGCAGCTGGTAGTTGAAAGCGCTCCTGTGCATCGTCGACGTCCTCGATGTCACCATCGGTACGCATATTCAGGTTCCGGAAGTAGACCTCTTCGATATTCGGCAGGCGGAGTAACATGGCTAGATGTTTTGCACGCGAATCTGCCATATTTGAATCTGTAGGATTTCGGGTAACCACTCCGACTGCCACACTCCGGAGGGAGATGAATCCAATCGGCCATGGAATCGAGGCTGCGACGCTGTTAGAAACGGCCTTCCACATCCACTCCAGACTCGTATGTAGGTCCCGTTCTTTTTCGACGAATCGAAGCGCTGTCAAGCGGGGTAAGCCGGATATGATGAGCATCTTCACAAATCCGTCACCGCCAGTTTCGATCTCGTTCCGAGCCATGTCATGGTCCGTCTCGGTCGTGAATGTAAACTCTCGCAAAAAGGAATTGGCCAAAGATTTAATGCGATCAGCTTCAATCGCCGGGTTATCAACAGTCTCCATTAAGATGGAGCCGTCTGGATCAACACGCCATTGCTGCCACTCCCTCCAGGATTCCCTGCTTCCCCAGACCTCATATTCGCGCACATGCCAAGCTTCAATAGCCTCCGCACCAGTAGGGTGCGAGACGCTGTTCAAGAGCTTGAGGATGTCCGACGGCTCACGGTCTGAAGCAATGCGGCCATTCTCGTATGCTGCAGCGTGGAGACGTAGTATGTGCGCCGAGGATTGGTAAAGAGACCTGCACGTCCTCGCAAGATTATAGTGCCAGGAAGGCTCTAGGAACTGGTAGATGTTTTCAACGAGCTCCGAGGCCAGTCCTTCCATGGCGAACGCGGATGGCTATATTCAAAAGATGTTCTATAGATCTTCCAGTTGAGCAAAGACGAGCCTGTATGTGGGTGGGGTTATAAACCTAAGTGATGGATGCAAGAAGAAAAATAATGAACCAAAAACAGACAGTGCAGCTACCTAGAATATCATGCTGACTGTGTCGAGTCCCCACTGGAAATGTGACGCACCGCCATCCGTTTTACAGTCGTTGGCTAAAGGAACAAGGAGCCAGTGCACTCTGACCCTTGAAGTGCAACAACTTTTGCCATCTATTCAAATGGCTTGAGGCCTCTCTTGAATATCTCTGCTCGCTTTCATGCGTTAATATAGCTCTGTCAAAGCGAAGAGCTCGATCCAAAGGACAATGATGCCAGGATTGGGACAATGTGTCAATATTCTGTCAAGATTTCACACAAATTGGGCTGGCAATTCATATATAATAGAGGTTTTGGTTTTATACGTTGTATAAAAGTCCCTAAGGCTTACGTTAAACACAGAGATGTCGCGGCCTCGGGTGTCTACAATATGTAGAACCAAGTAGTTAGGCCTCATCAGTCGGGCAACCCATCAATTTCCTGATCGCAGCTCTGCCGTTTGGCTGGAGATCACGCGAGCCTATTCCAGCCCAGATACCCTTCGGGCGAGGAGGGCTCTCAATACTATCCCAGCTTTGGCCATTGAATTGAAACCAACCGTCCTTCAGCTGATCGAACAGATACAGATTGCGGTTCTCGGGGTGCAATTGAGCAAACATTGTCGTCGCCCACGCTGTTCCACCGGGAGGTGCGTCTTCTCTAATGGCAGTGACCGCGTAGCAGGCCTCGCTCCATGCGACCTGGTAATAATTGCGCTGTATGAAACACGACACTTTTCGGTGCCGTGGGGGAACTTTGCCAAGAGCCGTAGCTGCGTTGCTGACGGCATCGTTTGCGATCTTTAGTTGCTCATCGTCAAGTCGAACGATTTGATCCTCAGAGGCCTGGCTTAGATGTCCTGGGAAACTCCAATGAATGACCGCGTGTCCTGTCGATGCGGCACATAGTCCCCATTCTATGTCTGCGCCGTCGGCGCCGCCTGATAGGCACACATCTTTCAAGCCCTGGAGACGTTCCATTGTGTTGCGATGATTGGCAAAGTGCTATTGTTGATGGCAAGTAAGTTGTGGGCTCATCCGCCGACACAAAGATGTGAAATGAACCGCCCGATGAGTCATCAGCAAAAGGTCATCAGCTGGCATAAGCCACATCAACCGTCTTCATGGATGATGGACTTCATCGCTGGTGAGGTGAAACGTCTCGATCTTTTTTCTAGGAGCTCCTAAGCTTCGATCAATCTAACAACTTCTTTAGTTCCCTGCAACGACAAAGATTTGTTCGAAGGAACGTCACGTTGCCACCATGGAGATATCCGGTGCTAAAGGTGCCCACCCTGTGGAACTCATCACTGTTTGCTGAGAACAAGTTATTGGGAATATACCAAGGTTTCTCGTCTGTTAGTCAAAGATCATGAATCAAAACCATGCCTAGCGCAGCATATCGTCGTGAGCGTTCTATCTCCAAGCGCCCTATCTCTGTTCCGATGCCCACGCCCTACTCTGACGCCCTATGATGCGCCCTTCACGCCCTACATTCGACCTGCGCCCTTCCAGATGGTAGCTTGTGTGAAAGGGCGCGATTGACTAGATACCCACGGGGCATCACGAAAAGGGCTGCTTTCACGAGATATCACCGATTTCATATTAGCCTTTCATAGACAGAAAAGATTTACAAATGATCGGAAATAGGTATGGTACGAGCTTGCCTTCACGCTCTAGCCAATTTAAATGTATACAGCCAGATTATATGGCTCTAAGGACCTGATAGACTGTCACCGAAGCCGGTTCTACCAATGTTCTCCTCAATGTAAAGGCTAGAATCTAGACCACCTCAGAATGTTGAAATCTCCGCTGACGAGAGCATCACCATTCTATGAGGCAATACGAGACGAAGCATAATGAGCTCTCGCGTCAGATATCCGCCCCCTGTAATGCATATAACAAGTGTGAGGTGAGACGTCTTCGGGCGGGAACTCTCGATCACCGGAGTACAACAAGTCATGCAACCCTCTAAGGCTTTTGAGAGTGAACTTCAAGTCAGTAGCTCCAAGTTGATCGATGGTCTAAACAAGTAACGAACCTTACCTCTAATGGATTTCAAACGTCTTATCTTTTCTATAAGTCTAGTTTATTACCCTTAAAATTTACAGATATTCCGTTGCCAGCTCAAAATCTCCCTGCCGCTCCAAAACCTGTCGCACCAGACTATCATTTATGGGAGTCGGTATTCCGACCTCTCTTCCTCTCCTACACCAGTACCCATTGATAAACTTGATCTCAGTCTTTCGCCCTTGCCGTAGATCAACAACCATGGAACAGGTTGTTTCCGCCGTTTTCGTCAGGATCGCGTTCACTGTTGACTCCAACTTCTCCATCGCAAATCGACTGGTGATGCCCTCCAGGCCTTGAAGTTCTGGAAGTGCTTGTATGACGGTTGAAATTTCGGTGAGCAGTGCTTTTCTTATTTCCGGAATGCTAAATAAGAATTTGTTCTTGGCGTTGTTGAGTGCGCACAGGGGGTTGCAAAATGCGTTGACGCTCAGCTTCTCGAGCTGCATCTGCAATGCGTCTAGGAAGGAATATGCAGTAGCGTTAAATCTCGGAACAAGAGGGAGGGCTTCCAAAAGATATGACGATGCGGCCCCCTTCTCGCTGTTGCTTGGTGCAGTCTCTGATCTAGGCACAGGCCCTAGAGATGTTGCCGCGAACCCGGTATGTGTGATGTTGAATGGGGAGTTTAGAGTGACGCCATGCGAAATGACTCCCGTAATGTAGTTCGGGCGGGTCTGGGCATCCGGGAAAAGCTTTTCGCTGACTTCTTCCATCATACCAGAACCGTTTTGCAGAAACAGTATGTGAGAGGAAGCATCTAACCGATGTTTCAACGATTGTAGGGCGGCAACTGTTTGCGCCCCTTTAACTGAGACAACGAGGTGGTCAATGATGTCCTCACAAACGGTTGATGCCACGCCTTCTAGCTCCGATATTAAAGACACACCATGCCACTTGTTGTCTTCCAGAAACTCCAGATTGAAGTTGGAATGTTCAACTATTTCTCCATCCCTCGTCTCCAGTGTTATCTTTCTACCATTCTTAGTATATTGGCCCACAAGAGAAGATCGATGGAGAAGCAAAGTGACTGATGGAGTAAGGGGATATGGAACTTCGGCTAGTGAATGAGCTGCAAACGATCCAATGCTTCCAAGTCCCAGGACATGGACACGAGGCGGTCTCGGCTGCATGGTGGTCATCATTTTGCTTGACATTGACTTCAGGGGTGCTGCGCATACACGTCGCATACAGCCCCAAGAAGACAACAATCGCAACATTAGAACGACTAGAAATGAAAGGAGAAAATTGAAGGCCCGGAAATTTATGCGCCATGGTATCACCGAGGTTTACAAAATATGCAAGCCAAAGCACTTGGCCGCTCATGTAAGTCATCGAAGCCACTTCCCCTTAGCCTCCGTTTGTCGTCATCAGGGCGTGATCTGTATAATCCCCACTGGAAATAAAAAGTTTTTTCCTTCTACTCCGATATCTTTTCTAAATTCTTGACAGTATTGAAAACCTCAAACTGCAGCTCGAGTGGGATCAGGCTATGCTGTAGGGCGCCGTGCAGCGCTGCCCTGAGTGGCCGCTTCTACTAGTGCTCCAGGACCAACTAGCAGATTTATCTATGCCTCATATCCAATGAGAAGCGCAGGATGATAAGCGGAGATCGGAGGCTGTAGGGCGTGGCCGTAGGGCGTAAGGCGTAGGTCTTAAATGTGCCGTGTCCGGAGGCCCACCGGATCGGTAGAAGTGAGAGGCGGATACGCTGGCTGCGGTTCTTCAGACGCAAGATCAGAACCTCTTTGAATAGACCTGGCCAGATGCATTCTTCCATGTCACTCATTTCACTACAGCGGAAACAAGGTTTTGGGATGAAGTCTCCTTTGTACTTCTAGATGACGAGAATCCTGACAAGTTTTTTTGTCTATAAGTATTATGTATATTCCTCGAAAGAGCCCAAGCCACTATACAGACCCAAGTCTGTGAAAATTACTCGTAGGGGCCACAATTCCACCTCGTTCAAGTTCACTCTTCGCCTTGGCCGTCGGGTGAGCCTCCCAAATGCCGGTTGCGAAACTTATCGAGCCAGACATCGTTATCCGCAATGGTTTGGTCCCACGGGTCCACGGAGTCAAAGACTACTTGCCTGGCCTCATCCTGGAACATCCTGTCGGTAGGCATTATCCCGAGCCTTATTTGCTTTCGAGCGAAACGAGCGAGATGTACTGCAAGGATGTCAGGGAACATCATCGAATCGGTAAGGTTCTGTGGTGGATTCTCAGGTTCAGGGGGTGCTGTTGCACATTCCGGAGACTCCTGGCTTGATACTTCGATCTGACGCCACTTGTCAAGGCAATATTCACTTGCACCTCGGATTTGAGACAAGTGGTCCTTATGAGTTGTGGCCGAGAAAGGGATAGGCGCCCTTGACTCCGAGCCAATAAGATAGGGAGCGATAGCATGGCGTACTTGAAGCGCAATGGAAGGGTCGAAGTCATGCTCTCCTTTCCATTGGTCCATGGTTGCTCCTGATTTAAAGTGTCTGGCGAGGTGTTCGACACGAGCTTCCCATGTTTCCATCCTACTGTTGCAGAATCCGCACCTGGAGGCCACTGGAGGGCCTTCTTCCTTGCATGATTCAATATTACCTGGGTTCTTCACCTGGTGAACATGCCTGAGATGCTGAACAAGATGGTCCTTACGGATGAATCTGGGGGGCTCTCCGTCAACGCGGCAGCTACCATGGTAGTGGTCCGAGTTCAGATGTGCGTCAGTTGGGTTAAGAACACCGCAGTATGCGCACGTAGCCTCTCTTGTCACCGGTGAGGTTATCGTCCCTGTAGAGGAAAAGCATTTCCAGCTATCAAGGTTCAAATGTAGAGACTTCTCGTGCCTTGACCAGTCATATTTGCTCTTGAAAGAGTCGCAGCAGAAAGTGCAATGGAAGTTCCTCTGGTCCTTTTTCTTTCCTTGGCTCGCTGCTATTCTTGGGGCTCCCGTCCGCTTCGATACCCGTGATCTCACTCGGTCAGTGCCTCGCAGCAGCGCCGAGCCCGCAGACGAGTTCGAACCACCCGTGGACCGGCTGGTCGCGCTGCCGTGGCTGGCGATCGATCCAGGGTGGCTACCGGCCTTTTGGCTACGCAAGCTCCCAGCAGAGGAACGGCCCCTCAGTGGCATATCTTTAAGGGCATTCGCAATGTCGGATAACGATGCTGCCTCGGTTTCTGGAGGAGAGTCTCTCCATCGCTGCAGCGGATCAGATGTTGCGGGTGTTGAATTCATCGCCTTTGGTATTTCTATTGCTGCCGAGATACCCGATTGGTAGACCCCGTTACGGAAGTACCGGCTCCTGCGTCGAGGAAGTCCTCGGTGTTGATTCTCCAGGGCTGGCGGGGGATGGTCGTGATACGATTGCGGTAGGAGAGGCGGCAATTCCCATGGCGTATGAGCTGTTTGTATGTTCGTGTGCCCTCCCCCAAGTATGCTCTGTGAAGATTCTGGTTGCCAAGGCAGAGTCATCGTGGCTAGAGCCGGGTCGTGAAAGGATGCGGACGACCTGGCGCTGGCGCTCTCGGGGAATGCCGATTTTAAGGATCTGGATGTGTCGTCATCGCGAACTCCCAGGCTTGGGAGACCAAACAGTTTCGGATCGATAGGGGATGATTGGGATGGTACAAAGTTGCGCTGCTCCCTGTCGTCGTGCGTATTTGGTTCGTAAAGATTTGTTGTTGCCAATCCAAGTCGACGTAGGTCCAAGTCCGAGAATGCCAGAACTATTTCATTCCTGTTAGCCTCGTTCAATGTTCCTAGGAACCACGGGATAGATATACTGTCGCCCTCAACAAACTCCGAGGGCTCAAATTGAGCTTTTTGCTGGGTGTCATTGCGTTCTTGGGCCATTATTACGCGGAGAGAGAGCCGCAGCATTCACGGCTCCGAGAGCTGAGCCTGCAAGAAATCTCAAATGACATGAGATGGTTTGAGATAAGGATTAGTTCGAGCAATTAAGGTTTCAGCACAGACTTTGGAGAAAACTTGTCCTGTGACGTGCCGCAATCGGAGAGGCTCCACCACACATCCCCCACATCATGAAACAAGGATTGACTCAAGGCTTCTAACGAAGGGCGTGCAGTAGTGGCACTGGTGCATATGACAACCCTATTACAGTATGTAGGATAGTCTTGAGAGCACGCACCCTCTTACAGATAAAGTTATGTTGACCAGAGGTTGAGTTCTTCAAAATTCACTCATATACCACCACGTCCATATATGATGATTTTATTATAATTTTTCCTGCCTTTTTTTGTAAAGTACCCATCTTCTCAGCATCCATGTTTCACGCCTTTGACTTTTGATATCCAGTTTCCAAGGATCCCAAGTGTGATCTTAGCACTCATAGTAATGTGCAGTTCATTCGCAGTGAAGTTGAACAGAGTGATGTGAGCTTCTCATATGCGCCGCTATCTGTGCCCAGCTTTAACTAGAGTCATCATGAGCTACCTAGGTCTAGTAAAGGCAGATCACATTAGAAATCTCCAAATGATTCAAGCCTATGCTATTCCAAAGCATTCAGAACGAGCTTCTGGTAGTCTTCGACAGCCAACTCCAAGTCTCCCACAGTAATATTCTCATGGTCAGTGTGAGCCACGAAAATCGTTCCAGGGCCGTACAAAATCTTGCTATAGTTGCCCTCGACCTTGAAGCCTGGGATGTCGGTTCCATATTTCATCACTGCTGTCTCAAAGCCTGTATCGTGATTTAAATTAGCAATTTCTTAAGAACAGAAAGGGGGATCAGAGAGAGTTACCGTCCACATCACAATCCAGCTCCACAAGCCCATACCCTTCTGAACAATCAAGGCTCAGACCAGCCGAGTCGACTTCTTGAATAATGCTATCCAAACGCCCCTTCACAATCTTCTGGCCCCCATCTTCGGGACCGAGGGCGACGCGGATAGCCAGTCCAGCAGATGCACTAGCAGCAATTACGTTGTTCACTTCTCCGCCCGACAGTTTGCCAACATTCACCGTCGTATTTCCAAATTGCTCGCTAGTTCCCAAGTCTGCAAGCAAAATCTCGTCCAATGCATGTATCAGAAACTGTGTGGCAGATTTGCCCACCTCAGGATATCCGCTGTGTCCAGCCACCCCCTTCGCGTTCAGAGTGCAACCCAAGACGCCTTTGTGGCCGCAGGCAAGTTTAGCCTCAGTCGGCTCCCCGAAAATCACCGCGCTCAGATCAGTAGGATTTTCGGTGAAGTAGTCGCTTAGAGCCTTGATCCCATCACCGTAGGCCTCTTCTCCAACAACAAGGCCAACAGCAACATCACCTGGGCTCACCTTCCCCGCTTTAACAAGCTCGTTGACCGCGATGACGATTGGGGCAAGGCTACCTTTGGCATCTACACTTCCACGACCGCTGATGATCGTATCCGTTGTGATGGGACCCTCTTCGATCCCGTACCCAATGTGCGGGGGCACGGTATCAAAATGAGTTGTAAGAATAACCTTCGGGGAGAACTGTGTGATATTTCCAGCAGGAGAGGCCAGGACGTTGATGCGAGTATCTCCCTCCGGAGTATTGGCAACAGGCGGGACAGTCTGAGTGGTCACTGACCAGCTGTTATTTTGGAAGTATTCATAGAGCCAACTTCCCAACTCAGCTTCAAGGCCAGTATTTGAGGGGATTTCGACAACATTCTTATGAAGCTCGAGGAGGGCGCTGCGATAGGATGGGGTGTCGCATGTCGCAACAGCCGCCAGAGCTGTCAAGACGAGGGCAGTCTGAGTGTACATCATGTCTTCCGTGAACGACTATACGAAGATACAAAGTTTCCATACAGTAGGACCTCATAATCCATCTTGACCATCGGGCTTGGAATAAATACCCGAGGATGTCTTATCAGCCATTTAACCTAGAAAATTGGACCCTGGAGTGGAAAAACAAGCAGGTCAACACCGATCAGCGCAGTTCTGCATGCATTATGGTTCAGCTTGACACTCAATGCTACCTTGAAATGCATCAATATGCGCTCTTCCTTTCCCTGAGTGGACGATGAACAGCGGACCCAGAATTGACATCATCGCACCTAATGATGTCAACACTCATATGCCCTCATCTATCACCCCCCTTGTTCAGGGTCGTATTGAATGTGAGAAAAAGCACGCAAATACCCATAGAGATAGCTACTTCACACTTGCATCGTATCTCTTACGGCATAGCTTGGTCTTCGCAAATAGTCAAACATCACGATCAGTTCTGAGAAGGGCCATTCCAACCTAGCTTTTACTTATCTTTCGCTTTTACACTGGTATCCCATTCAGATTATGCCTTCTTCAACTGGGGTCTCCAAATCCGTTTTCTCCAGTTTTAGATATTCCCACTTTCTAGGCTATCTAGGCTATCCAGTCTACCCCGGCACGGAGGATTCCTCTTTGAGAGTCGCCTGCGGTGCGGGGCGGTGTCACTTCCTTGAGAGAATCTTTGATACCTATTCCCAACCCTGGTGAATCTATCTCTATTTAGAAGCTAGATTTTGTCAGTTGAGCCCGCCAAGCCTATAAAACGCGGGGCCACCGCTAAACCTAAATTTGAAAAGGATGTATCTGAGTCGAAAGGCAACGAATTGTGCCGAACGGGTAGATTGAAGTAGATAATTATAATTCTCCTCTTCTAGAAAACAGAAAACAGTCTGCTGACCTACATCTCAACAGATCCCCTGGCTCTTTGTTCACAAGCCGTGCTTTTTTGCAAGCTTCTCATCTACCGCAAACACCATCTTTCCCATCACATTCGTACCTGAAATGAGTTCTTCCTGAACTTGAACCTCATCGGCCAAACGAACAACCTTGAAGACCGTCGGGACTAAGTCCTTTGTCCTAACCTTTCTCAGAATTGCGTCGAAATCTTCCAGAAACAATTCCTTTGATTTCAGGTAATGGTCCGTCATGACGCTGAAAAAGCTGGTCCTCGGCTGCATCCGCGCGCCAAGCAGGGCGTGAAGAGCCGAGGGGCTGCTCGCCATCCCGGTCCCATCAGCCTTGATTTCGTCCATGACTCCGATGACAATCACCTTCCCGGTCTCCTCTTTAGTCGCCTGGTAGCTCTGAAGAAGGCTTTTCTCGCTGCCCACGGCGTCGTATGCAACGTCGACTCCTTTCCCGTCGGTCAACGCCTTGACTTGAGCGACAAGATCAGGAGCGCGACGATCAACTGGAGTTACACCCAAAGATCTGACGTAGTTGAATTTAGAGGCAGAGCATGTTCCAATCAACTTGAGGTTCAAGTCAAAGGCTTGTGCGAGTTGTGCAACGGCAGTACCGATCCCTCCACTCACCGAACCGATCAGAACGCTCGATCCAGGTGTGAGTTCAACCCCGCTGCGCTTCAACATCCCCCAAGCTGTCATGTAGTTTAGGGGGAGTGCACATACTAAGACCGGGTCATCGGTTGCCTCTATGGGGATGAGTTCTGTAACAGGCAGGATCGCATGTGTGGCATGAGCTCCCACGACACAGATAGAGGCAACATGATCACCAACAGCCAGGGTACTTGTGGACGCCGCTGAAGAACCAATGATCACCACTTCTCCGACAAGCTCGTAGCCCGGAGTGAAGCCAGGCTTGGCGGTGCGAGGGTCTGGGTAGCCCCCTGCCCGTTGAATATTATCTGTGCCGGCGATGCCAGCCGCAATGATGCGCACCAGAACATCATCGGGAGAGATTTCAGTCGGAAGCTCCCATGTCTCCCATTTCATGACAGACGGGCCACCAAATTCTGATACGATCCATCGCCCGGCCATGTCCGGAGTCGGGCTGGTATTGACGGGCATAGTGCTGGAACAAATAATGTGAGCAGAGATAGTTTTTGGGTACTTGAACTGGGCAGCTTATGATGATCTTTTAATAAGTCTATCTGATAGAAAACTTTATCTCTTGAGCCATGTTGCTCTTGATATACATGATGCGAGGCCGTGGCAATTCCACGGAATCAGCACCACGGTCACTCCACGGCCTAAATTGATTACACTAGCTCCTTTCCGACACATCCGATCACGGTGACGTCTTCACGTCTAAGCTTACATGTTTCTATATATTACTTTAATGGTCTATCAAATCGACCTCTTGGATCTTGGGCTGTATTTGAGGCTACAATATTTAAACTAGAAGGCATCGCCTGGCAAGCCAGCGGATGCGTATGCAAGAGAGCTTTCATAGTCCAACCTTCAATCTAAAAAATCCGACCTCCAGTTATCAGCATCTAACGTAAGCATTTATTAATAGTTAAGACTCTTGCTAGCCAACAAGGAGATTACAACAGACTTCTGACTATACTAACACGAAACAGCTCCCTCTTCCAGGTTATTCTTATTTCACAGTTCCCGTGAGAGGATAATCTAGCTGGGTCTAACTGAGTATCCCAAACTTCCTGAGCACGATAAAAAGCGATATTCGAAACATGGAAATTTAAACGCTAATATTAATTGGAAATAATATACCTGATTTCTTTCTTATTGATTTATTTACTCTTCCAAGGATAATTTAAATTCATGAAAGCAGTTTTAGCTACACTACCACATATGTTGCTACGTCTAATGCCTTGTGTTCTGGGTCTCACATGAACCGCTATTTGTCTATTCTCAGGGTTTGCATGGTTTGACTCTTAGACTCCTGATACAACCAAACAAATACGGGAAACATGACAATCTGTGCCTATGAGACTTGAAGATGCAGCTCAGGAAAAAGTAATCGAGGCCGAGAGACGGAAACTAAGGAGAGAAAGGGCACAGGCGAGCCCTAAACACAAAGCGGCCGCATTACAAGAACAGGAAAGGTAAGAGGACAAAGACGAGGAAATACAACTTGCAAATAAGGGACAGGGGAAGAGGGCCGAGAAAGAGGGCTCGGATGGAGAATTCAGTCTCGGTACGTTTGATTGGAATTGCGATTCTATCTCTATTGTGATGTCACATAAGAATTTCAACGGGACCTTTATGCTGATGAGCCTAAAAGCTATTGTGCGGGATGACAACATGAAGAGATTCAATATATTGGATAGCTGGCGCGAACATTAGATTTGAAAAGCACGCCTGGCTCCTCACCTTCCATAAGGCCTCATTCTCATATATCTATGAAAGCTCATCATATCGTTTAAATCTCTAGACCAATGGGGAGAGTCATTTCTGCCATACGGCATATCAGGAATTGTACGCCAACCAAAGCTGTATCGGGCTAATGGTAGCATGCGACGCAAGGACTTGATCTCGTAACCATCCGCCCACGGCTCTGCTCTCGCACAGGTTTCATATTTTTTAAATATACTCCCATACTTAGATCCTCCAATATCTTCAATCAAGATAAGCCGATGCAGATGCGGCAGTCGTGTTAGGACGTTCCTAGCCATCCCCTCAAGCATGCGTTCCACCACATCGAAACCATTGAACCCCAAGAACTCCTGCCATTGGACCGCCTTGTCAAGAAGCATGTCTTCCGAGAGAACAAGCCTCTTTATGTTGGTAGGGACGGTCTCTTCGAGGAGCTCGGGAGTGTCTCCAAAACCGGGAAGCGAAACCAGTGGCACTTCGAGGTACGTCAGGCGGTCGAACTCAGCAAGACCGCGGAAAGTTCCCGAAACCGCGATGTCTGGATATATAACAGTGTTACCTTGAAATAGTTCTAGAAAAGAGACAGGATCGCGGGCCCCTGTGATTTTCAACCGGAAGCGCAATGTCGTCAGCGTGCGCCTAACGTTTGAGAGAATCGCGACAATCTTGTCAAAGTCCAACGTTGGTGGCAGCCAAGGGTCCCCCGAGTCATCGTATTCCCAAGTCCAGAAGAGTGACTTGAGGTTCCGCGTGAGGCTAAGTATCTTGCCCATGTGTTGGTCAGAGAGTCGTGTAATATCTAGCAAAGTGAGGTTGTCCAAGTTGGGCTGCCCAGCCGGCCACCGGAAGTCTGGAGAGTTTGGGACCCATGCCACAATATGTGTGACTTTCGGTAGATAGAACAAGGAGATGACATCTTCGAATGTATCATTTCTCGTCGCTATTGAATAATCATATCCTTTGAAGTACTTGATCTCTTTGAGCCGGTCCAGTGCAGGTAGTCCACCATACGCTTTAGCCTGCATAACCTTACCAATGAGTTCACGGCCATTGATGAAGTTCCTCATCAGGGCGAGGCGCTTCGTGCCAGAAGAAAGGTTGGCAAGTAAGAGTGCATAAAGTGCCTCCAGACATGTCTCGCCCGAATTGAACTTTTGGATCCAGAGCTCAGTGAACGGCACGTTGGTCTTCTGGATAGCAGCCAGACACTGCTCCTTGAATGCTGCATCGATGCTTTCGAGATCTATCGCGCGTGAATCGGTTTCGAAGTCAAAGCCCCACCCATTCATTGAGACAGTTTCAAGACGCTGAAAAAGTTCTGGCCTCCGGAGAAGAGTGCGAAGAAGGGGCACGATTCGGGGTATGCAAAGAAAGGTGTACTCCAAAATGACGGAAGAATAGAGAATGGGCTCGGCAGAGCTACGAAGAGACCTGCTGGCAAGACAGAGGCTCTTCAGATCAGAAATCTTAGGCACGAAGCCACAGATGTGAGAAATGATCTCGTTCGGGGCATCAGTAAGCGGTGCCATGGAGAATCAGGGCAAATTGGTTTGGCAAATTGAATGGGAGAGTGGGAAGCTTGAACAGATGAAGGAGCGAGAAATAGATGCTTGGTGCGCGGGGATTACAATATGCAGCGATGAGCTATATACATATCCATGCGTATTTTTAGAGTTTCATCCAACAGCTTGGTGTGTTACAATTATGCTGGTGTGTTACGCCGGTGAGTGATAATACCACATTACCAACAAACCTCACCTCACACAAGCAGGATTGCTGTGACGATTAAGCCAGTAGTCAAAGGGAAACCCTTGCTCCAGGTTTCCGAGATGGCCTTATATCTTGCCAGAATTGCAACGGTGTGAGTGGGGAAGTTGTGACACTGCAGAGGTACATTATGCAACCAGACAGAGAGTAACCATTCATTTTCATATCCTGCTGGCACAGATTCTCCTTCACGTTTCAGTTCAGACCAAATCCAGCAGGCTTGCATTACTTGGGGAGGACTTACGGGGTCATTCAGCCCGCCGCCTGTTTACAAGTCTGACGCTTCTCAAGGCTATATTTATTAGCGTTACTATCCGGCGGGTACGTAAGCAAGGCAAATTAGCCCCCCTCTAAAGAGGGGGTAATATAGACTGTATCTTTAATATATTTATATCTAACTCTTATCCCTTTAAATTATAATTTCTTAATAATAATAGTAGCTTTTAATTTAAAATTAATTTTATATTATTATTATATATTAATTTAACTATAACTGAATTTTCAGAATAATTATAATATTATATAGTAAAAGTAGTATATTTCTATATCTTAGGATCTAACTAAGTATATCTAATATATAGTTAGTCTAAGGGTAAACTTATAATAATAGATTTAGCTATAATTTATTAAACTAATCTCCCTTTATTAAAGAAGTATATTTAGCTATTAAAGAAAGATAAATCTTTTCCTTTTAAAGCTTTAGATAATTTATAAGGAGCTATTCTAAGTTTTATAAAGTAAGAGGAAGCTATTATTATTATCTATATCTTAAAGATTAAAAATACTACTTTCTAGTTAAATAATACCTATATTATTAATAAAACTAATTTCCTATACTATTTATATAATAAAGGATTTATATCTTCTAAATAGCTTTTAAGATTTAAAGAGTAATATTCTAAGTTAGCTAGCTATATTAGCTAGTTTAAAGAGATAATCTAGATAGGTACTAAACTTAATCCTAATAAACTTAAAGCCTAATATATAGAATATATAAATATAGTTAAAGAGTTTTAAATAATACTAGATAATCTATAGAATTTTAATAAAACTCCTTTATAAATAGACTAGATCTATAGGAAAGTAAAAATAATCTTTATTTATAAGAAGAAGGGTATTTATTAAATTCTCTTTTAACTAAATAATAAAAAGAGCTTAATATTAGTTAATATAATTAGTATAGCTAGAAGATATATTTTTTCTTTTCTTATTTTAATTATAAAAGTATTATTTAAGGATTATATATATATTAATATTAATAATAATATAGTTATAATATATATAGATACTAGTTATAATAATTTATATAGAGCTCTTTAGTAGTTTAAGTATTTTAATTATTATTCTTTTAAAGTAAGTAATAGTTTTAAGAGTTATATAATTAAGAGCTAGTTTAATTATAGAGTTAATATTAGCTATAAGGATTAGAAATAATAGATTTATAAAAAGCTCTTTTATATTTAAATTATACTATAGATTATAAAACTCCTTCTAATAGATAGATTCTTAATCTATAAAAACCCTAAATTCCTCTAGTATTATAATATATTTAATATTATACTCTTTAAACTATCTTCTTATATAAGCTATTTTATATAGTCTTTTAATATAGGTATTTTTTAATATATAAAGTAGTTATAATAGAAAAACCTCTAAAAGTAGGTTTATAGTAAAGAGCTATAAATAATTTATTTTAACTTTCTTTACTTTTAGAAGTATATATTTAAGGATTTCTTTTAAATTAGATATATATATATAGGCTTTAAAAATAATAGATTATAATCTATTAATCTAAATAAGATATTATTAATAGTTAGAGTAGATTATAAAGAATAGACTATATTAATATAATCTAACTTATTATATAAAGCTATTATAATCCTAAGATCTATTAAGTAGAAACTTATAAGTATCTTAATAGTTAATACTAGTAAGAATTTATAATAAGCTATAAATAATATATTAATTACTTTAGATTATTTTATTATCTTATAGAATATATAGCTTAAAGTATTAAAGTTAGTATATAAGTAGTTAATCTAGTAGGCTATATATATAAAGACTATATAGTATATTATAGATATAAAAGATAGTACTTTTATAAAGGATTAACTTTTTATAAAAATTAAAACTTAAGAGGAAAAAGAACTTAAGGAACTAATAAAGAAGTATATTAAGATTTAGAAGTAAGAGATAGTAAAATTAAAAGCTAAAGAAGCTATTTTATAAGTATTATAATCTTATCCTTATAATTATACTATAGCTAAGACCTAAATAGAAGTAGAAACTAGGGCTTATAAATATATAGTTTTTATAAACTTATAAGCTTAAAAACTATATTTTACCCTCTAAGTAACTTAGGAATAAGTAAATAACTCTTAAAGGAAGCTATTATTATATATATTATCTCTTAAAGCTTTAGAATTATTCCCTAGCTATTTAGACTAGAAAACTATTTAAAAGGCTTAAAGAGAAATTAAAACTACTATTAAAACTCTCTCTTAACTAGCTAGATACTTTTTTAGCTCTTCTAATACTAGTTATATAACTATTATAATAAATAACTCTATTAGATTATCTAGTAGTAATAATAGTATTAATATTATTATATATTACCTATCTAGTTTAAACTAGATAAAAGATATATTAATCCCTTTAGAAAGATCTATAGATTTATATAGAAAAGAAGTTATATTTATATCTTAAGTATAATTAGAGGAATTATATTATTTACCTATAAACTATTTATTATCCCCTAATCTAGAGATTATAATAGGGGGTATACTAATTATAATTCTAAAGTTATAAGCCTATAAATTATAAATTAATTATTATACTACTAATTTTATTCTAAAAATTATAAAATTAAATATATAAATTAATTAGCTATTAATAAATAATATCTTAAATTATTATATAAAAAGCTTTTAAATTAATAGATTTATATA